CTCTCTAAAAAATAAATAAAATCTTTAAAAAAAAATAATAAAATTTAAAAAATTAAAAAAAAAAAAAAGATGAATGCTGCCGCAAAGAAAAATATTCCAGAGATTCAATGCCAGTAAACATTATAAAACATAAAGAGCAATCCATCATTAAGCCAAGAATTACAAGGAGCTTTGCTGGTTAAGAGTAAGATGGAGAATTCACAAAATGGCAGGAGAAGGGGGTGGGGGGAGATCATAACCATATTCATTAGACCTAAGTAAAATTAGGCTATGGAGTCAAGTCCTGAAGAACAGGGATCTTCTAAACTTTTGCTAAAACTAAATTACTTGGTACTTAAAAGGGGAACAGCAGACAATCCACATGGTGGCTTAGGAACGCTGAAGCAGAAGCAGCACATACACTCACATCTGCGGGTGGAAAAGCAATCCCAGGAACAGCACCTGTGAAAAGCAGTAACGAACACAGGCAGAGACAGCACTCTGGAACAAGTAAAATACAGCCATAAGCGGTATCAACTCTGAACAGTTCCCAACAAAAGCACGAAAGACTATCATACAGTTCCTTAAGGAAAGCGATACATCTTTATCCACTCTTAAAGCAGACAGGAAAAAAAAATGCTTAAATTTGCAACGCAAGTATAATGCCATTACAAGGAATATCAGAACAGAGAGAGGGTTTCTCTAGCCATCTCGGGCTCAGACAGATACCTCAAAGTTACAGTGCTCTATGATTTGGTTTCAACAAATAATCTGTTCAAATGTTTCATTCCCCCAGTTACTCCAATTAGGAACTAACTTCATCTTGAGATATATGAATTGGAGAAAACAGGTGAAGTGCCTCTGCATTTTTTTCCTGTTTTAAAATAGCAGTTAGCCCTTGACTTTCAATTTCAAACAGGTCAAATGTAGCTAAATAAAACTCACCACCAACCAAAACAAGGGGGAAAAAAAAATCCTAGAACAAGAAAATGAGGATGAATAAAATCTTTCTCCAACTTTTACAGATTTGAAAGCACTTTTTAAACCACCCACTTCGCTGCCGGGAAGTTCGGCTAAAAGGAACTCTACTTCAACTGAGTCCTCAGAAAACGCAAGTGTATTTAAACAAATTCCTACACAAGAAAGTGCTATGAAGATCCACCGGAGATCATAGAAGAAATCTGCTGGTCTTAGATCAAAGCAGCAGCAAAGTCCCACCATTACAAACACCCAGAAGTCAAATTTCACGTTACTCAGTCTCTTGTTATTAAGCCTTGTTATTGTTACTTCCAAACATTTCCCAACTTTCTAAACGTGTAATTAAATGACACAGAATAGTTTGCCATTTTTTCAGAGATTAATGTTCCAGATCTGGGGTAATGGGGGAGGAGTGAAGATAGGAGGGAGGATAAGCTCTTGAAAGCCTATTTTTAGTAGTAATGTAATTACGTAGTACTACCACCTTAAAAACACGTGCGCTAACAGCCAGTTTCCCGGTCTCGCAGGTGTGACATGACTAGCAAGAACTGCAGTGAGGTCTCTCAACAGTGTCAACCGAGTGGGAAACTTTGGAATCAAAAAGGAAAGGAGTAGCAACACGTAGACTTTGAATAGCAGCTTCCCACTTACCACTTGTAAGTTCACTGCAAGCTGTGATTTCAGCCAGATAATTTCGAAAGCAGCATCCCTTTGATGAAAATGAAGCATGGAATTTATGGATGTCACAATTACTTGAGACTCTAAAGAGGACAGGGCTCTAGTTTACATATTTAGGTGTGCCAAGTACACTATTCAATACATCTTCCACTGTGTTAGAAAATTCTTGAAGACGAGAATGCTCTCTGGTTCTGTTCTGGATACACAAGTCCTTCCATCCTGCCAAACCTAGGCTGCTTATGGGACAACTGGTCGATTTTCCCTAGTCACAGAGACTCCCCAGAGGATAGCAAGTGTCGGCTGTGTTTTGTTTCATGAGATGATTACTTGTTAAGTAGGCTGAAGGCACTTAGAAGTTTTCTTACTGTCCTCAACTTCAACAAACAATTCTGGCTTATTTGTACATCTCCTCGCCACTTCTTTAATCCCACTGAATCCCTGTTCTCAAATTCATGCTTGTAACGGAAGACTACTCTTCAGTTCATGGTAGCCTTTCAAGATATCCAGGTCCTAATTACCTCACCCTGATAAATGTCATCTGCATTCACCTCAACTCAAGACTGGACAGTCATTTGGCCTTCAAGTGCTCACTCCTCAAACACAGGAGGATTGAAGACCAGAGGCATTTTAAACTTTAATTTTGTTGAGTACAAGAAGAAAAACTCTACCATAGTTGTCTCTTGGAAAAAAGAAAAATACTCTCTTTGGGTCACTGTTAATGTAGAACAGCAATTTCACAGACTGCAAAGAATGCTAAATGTGGTAAATTCCCACAAGTAGTCAGTTATGAATGAGTCATCACTAACAAATGAACAAAATTATTCTAATTGCATTATTACCTTATGTAAGTATTATACTGGTTGTTTTTACAAACATTATCTTACTGATTTCTACAGCAATCCTTCAAGCTATATATCATTACCTCAATTTTACTAATAAACCTGAGAATCAAAGGTCAAGTAATTTTCTCAAGACCATATTCTAATAAGTGGTAGAGCTACATTTTAAGCAGATAACTACACAGAACAGGTGCTAGAGTCCATTAATCAGGTTTAAAAAAAAGTAATTCAAACTCCAAATTCACAGATGAAAATGGAGTAGGCTAGAGAGGAAAAAAACTGCCCTATTTAAAAAAAATCCTGCTGTATTTCATTTTTTGGAACATATTTCTCCTTCCCCACTGATCTCACAGGTGCTGTTTATGACAATAAACACACATCTGTAGGGGTGAGCTGACACACACAAGGCAGGACAGCCTGAACCCTCTCCCTATATTTAGATCCTTCTGCTCAGCTCTTAACTGAATAATTTAATCAGGACCCTCTAGAAGGGAAACACATCCATATTCATCACAGGCATCAAAGGAAACATCTTTACAAGTTATATCCTTTTACAAACCAACATATGGTCTCACGCCATTCTCCCAATTGTTGAACTCCTCCTCTGGGAAGAGCATGGAATTTTATTTCTTTTTATCACTTGAAAAAATCACTTCCCTCCTAATTCAGTAAAACTGGGTGGAGGCCACTTCCTCCACAGGTGAGAGAAATAAAACTTGTTGATCTGTCATTGTCAGGAATTTTAAAGTTAACTATTTATTCTATGTACTTTCAAAATAGAAACAAAAGGCAGACTCAGTCCAAAATAAGAAGTCAGGGCACATGTCCCACACTTTTAAATAAAACCCCTACAATTTTTCTGTCACTGTAAGATGTTTCTAAATGAGAAAACAAGGGCCCTTCCCTCGGAGTGAAAAGAGGTAGGCTGAAATGGTAGCTTCCACTTAGAAGCTGTACTCTGAACAAAACACCGCTCTGAGCTTCAATGTGCTCTTCCACAAAATTTTGATTCCATCACCTATCCTGCTGGATTGTTAACGAGGCTCAAATATGAACATGCAAAACTGATTTGAAAATTACAACATGCCAAAAAATGTAATATATTTTATTAACACAACAGCTTCACAAATAAGGAACTTAATTTGAATACTTTGTACATATAAAAAACCGAAGTTTCTGTCCTAGTTTTGTCTGTTCCGTGAAGTTCTAACTTTATAAGACATAAAGAAGGGGGGGCGGGAAGGAGGGAAAAGCACTGGGGACATGGCACTGAACAAGAGAGACCAAAAGCATATTTTTAAAAGGCTGTGCCTTCATGAGACCTACATTCCAGTGGTCAGGGAAGGCCTCACGAGGAGGGTGCTATTTGAACAGAAGCCTAGAAAGGTGACAGGCTGAGCCATGTGGACAAGTGGGGCAGCACACGCTGCAGGGGGAACGAGGCAAGGGGCAGGCGGGAGAGCGGAGGTGGGCCAGGTATCAGGGCCAGACCCACGGGGAGCCGACCCACGGACTTCCCAGCCTGCACTCTGAACTGAGCTGGGCACCACGGGGGAGATGAAGGCAGAGCTTGACAGGATGACCACGGGTTGGCCCCCTGAAAGAATAGAAGTCGGAAGCAGTAGGAGTGGTGACGGCTGGTTGTGGTAGTGGCAGCAAGAGCAAGGGAGGCCAATTAGGAAGCTGCGGCCATTGTTGTGGTTGGAGAGGGTCAAAGGTTTGGATCCTGGATATATTCTGAAGGGAGGGCCATGAACAAATAACACTTTATTGCTGAAGTAAATAAAGAAAATAATTAACCATAAAGCTGGAGAAATCGGTTTAATTTTTAGACATGCAAAATCCCGTATTATGGAACTATGAGGCGGAGTCTCTGAGGTGGGGTCAAAGGTCACTGGAGAAGCAGTCCAAGAATTATCACAGGAGCAGGAGAGGAGGGAGGGAGTAACGACTGGTAGCTAAAATCTCGTAGGAATGAGGGTGAATGATGGGGGCCGGGGCAGTAAAGCACTAACAAGGAAGGAAAGTGAGAGGTGAAATCTGACATGGTATTCAAAGCTGGGTGTTTCTATGGAGGACGGAAGAATGGTGTGGCGGTGGCAACGAACAGGGCCCCCGCTTCCAGGCACCATGGTCCTCGGGTTATGAGAGAGAACGGCCACGCCTTAAGACAGCTGCAAGGGAAGCAACATCCTCAGATGAACATACACAAGCATATTCATGTTCTAAGTAACCCAGATGTCCAACAATAATGGAGTGATGAAATCAATTAGGGGACATCCGACAATGATGTAACTGTTAAAAGGAAAAAAAACCAGACAGACTTTTATGTCTAACAGGGAAAGAAAACCAGACCGTAACTGTTCAGTTAGAAAGAAGTTGCAGACCAGAATATACAGTATGGCTCCATTTCAAAAACACAAAGAGAAACAAAACCCGTAGATATATAACATAGGTACATTTTTAAAGGCCTGGAAGGAAATGCACAAAACCAAGTAAGTGATTCCCTCTAGGAGTGAGCTGGAAGGAGGGGAGTGCAGAACATTTTTACTTATAACCAATTACTGTTTTCAATTTTAAAACCCAATAAAAACAAATAAAAACTGAAGAGGGTAACATTTATTCTACATCACTCTGTAAGACAGTATTATGACCAAGAGGTGGCAAGACTTATCTTTTTATAAAGAAAAAATAATTGACAGTGTTTCTGCACAGAGTGGAAATATCACTGCAGTGGGATTTTTAAGAGAAATCTATTCCTGTATACAGAGTTGGAATATATGACTTAATTCCGGGTGAAGAGGTGAGCGGGAATGCACTTTTTTATTAAGCAAGTCAGCCACATCATCAAAAAATTTGATTTTACAAAATGCATATTATAACAAAAAATAATTTTCTTCCCATTCCAGCCCCTTAGTCCCCTTTCCATTAACAATTCAAATATCCTTCAAACTTTTCAATGCATGAATTTCTTACCCCAAAAAAGTTTTGTATTACTCAAAAATCTTCAAAAGCAATTTGGTCCTTCACTTTTCCAGCATATAAATCTGTTACTTGGAAGAACGAAATAGTTTCTAAAAATCAAAGTTTACACAATCACTGAAACAAACATTGACATTAGCCAGATTTCACTCTCCTCCACATGACAATCAACAACAGCCTGTTTTCAATCTGCCAAAAACTAGACTGGACTTAACAAAGGTTCGCTTGGCCACCTCGGAGAAAAAACTGAACAAAACAGTAGCAGCCTTCTTCCAGAACAGGACCAGCTCCCTCCAGCTAAGAGCTAAAAGAAGCAAATGCAACATCTCCCACTGGGTTAGAGGAAAAATGCTCTGGTTATAAGCAAGGGTAACCAACGGAATTAGATGAGAGCTGTACCATAAGTCCAGACTTTCTCTGCCTCACACAGGTTCAGTCCAGTCCTCCATGAACTTTTCCACAATGACTGACTTACCGGTCAGAATGGAAACACCTAGCAAAGCTCTCAGAAGTCTTCGGAACCCAAATTCTCCTCCTTTAGACATTCAACTATTAAGACAACTTTAGTCTTCACTAATTCACTACTTAATTGAACAAATTCTTTAAGCGCTTACCACCAACATAAAAGTGCAGTAGAAAGAAAATTGAGTATGGTACAGTTCCCATCACCACCAAGCTTAGAGTTAGGAGGTATGTCAGTGAGAGATGGGAGAACCATCTTACATGATGACTGTGATAAGAGCCACACAACGTTTATCTAAGGAGGAACATACATACAGGGCAAATGGCCAACAATCTATGCTGTTTTCTTTGCCACGACTATATCTCACATGCATCTTGGGCTTTGTTTCCTACCATGCAATAAAAATACAGATTGAGTTCAACTGATTGTTAAGCAGTCACATCAGTAGGAACAATAAAATGGATAATCCAAAGCAGCCTCAATAAAAATTAGCCACTGTAGACATTTTTCCAAAGAAGACATACAGATGGCCAATGGGAACATGAAAGGATGCTCAACATCACTAAGCTTCAGGGAAATACAAATCAAACCACAATGAGATATCACCTGACACCAGTTAGAATGGCTTTTATCAAAAAGAGGTCAAAAAGGCAAGAAACAAGTATTGGTGAGGATATGGAGAAAAAGGAACCCTTGTGCACTGCTGGTGGGAATGTAAATTGGTGCAGGCACTATGGAAAAGAGTATGGAGTTTCCTCAAAAAATTAAAAATAAAAATACCATATGATCCAGCAATTCTATTACTTGAGTATCTACCTGAAGAAAGTGAAAACACTAATTCAAAAAGATATATGCACCCCTATGTATATTGCAGCATTATTTACAATAGCCAAGATATGGAAGCAACCTGTGTCCAACTATGGATGAATGGATAAAAATGTGGTACACACATATACACAGTCACAGACACACACACACACACAAATACTACTCAGCCATAAGAAAAGAATGAAATCTTGCCATTTATGACAACATGGATAGACTTTCAGGGTATTATCCCAAGTGAGATAAGCCAGATGGAGAAAGACAAATACTGCAAGATGTCACTTCTGTATAGAATCTAAAAAACAAAACAAACAAAACAAAACCCAGACTCACAGACACAGAATAGACTGGTAGTTGCCAAAAGGGAGGAAGGTGGGGAAAGGGGCAAAATAGGTGAAAGGCATTAAGAAGTACAAACTTCCACTTATAAAACAAATACATCATGAGGATGACAGATACAGTCAATAATATTGTCGAATTACTATGTTGTACACCCGAAGCTAATATAATATTGTACGGCAATTATACCACAGTGAATTAAAAAAAATTAACCACTGTTTTTGGAATGTATTATACTTTATCAAA